AATCTGAAGCTCGATGAATCAGCCACGTATTTGAGTTGGTCACGTCGGATCGAGGCTGCTCTAGTAGGAAAGAGACAGAAGGATACCTGATAGGGGCCAAGTCAAAGAGTGACAATGTTGAGAGGGATGAGCGGAGGACTACACATGTCTTGCTTTACACTTGGCTACTCAACTCGATGGTTTCATTGATTACCTCATCAGTGGATGACATTCAAAAATTGAGCGACATTTGGGCAAAGCTGAAAAAGATTTATGTTGGAGCTGAGAACCCATGAGGGTGTTCCAGATTCACCGTGAGATAGAGGTATTAGTTTAAGGTTGGATCGATTTAAAAGTTCTCTATAGACCTTGAGTGACTGTGGCAAGATCTTGATCAATTTTCACCTATGTCGAGTTGTGGTGACCCATGGTTCAGAAATGGAGAGATTTTTGCTTAGATGAGGACTATGCAGTTTTTGACTCATCTAAACCCGGCCTTTGACCAGAGGAGATCAATTTTCCTAGTCTAAGCAACGGCTCCTTCATTGGATGAGGCCATCTCCGCGATGACACAAGAAGAGAGTCGCATGAGGCTACACTTTGAGTCGAGTGGACCTCCAGTTATGCAATCAACCTTGGCTACCTCGAGTGAAGTTATGATAGATGCTTAGGGGAGACCGGCAGATGCTACAACAATGGAGAAGTGGGACACATGAGCAAGACTTGTCCATTGCCACTCAAGGAAAGAGAGACGGGTGGACGTGAACATTCTAGAGGCCGTGGTCGTGATCGTGAGGGCTAAAGGGGTTGAAGAGGGGGCTACCATACAAATCTGACTGTAGCGGAGAATGAGGGAGAGACAGGGGCGGTCTTTATCGATGAGAATCACGAGCGCCTGAAGATGCTGAAGTGGAAGCAGAAAACAACAGGTGATGTGATTGAGAATGCATCCACCTTATCGTCATCAAAGGGGAACATTGCTACTTATGCTTACTCAGTTAAAGGTATTCGTCATACACATGCCCTAGCCCTATATCCAATATAAGATCACTAGAATAGATAGTAGATTTTGACGCATCTCGATATGTGAGAGGTAACGCTAGTGCATTTGATTTCTATACTATCTAACAGTTTCAGAGAGCATTTAAATTGTTGATGGTACAACATAACCTGTGATTGGTAATGACATAACCTTGTCCTGTTCTACCTTGACTCTTGAGACACCTACACGATCCACTTCAGAATCCGATTACCCAGGTGTTATGATTCCTTAACTTTCTTATCCCACTCTCGTGGCTTAAAGAAGGATCTCTCGCAGCAATGTTGGTCGTTCTCTTGATCATTATTCTCCAAATTATTTTGGTTTCTCATGTCATTGCTTAGTTTGTCTCATACTCTAACACATCGCTTGTACACGGAGCATTTATTGCATCTTTGAACACTTTCTATAACCAAGTGTTGCCAGGTAGCTAAAGAGGATCCAAAGTGGAAGGCTGCTATGTTGGAGGAACTTGGTGCACTCGATAAAAACTAAGGTTTAAAAAATTAGACTGAACCTGCCGGTTTAACTGTTTCGACCATGAACTGGTCAGTGGTCCGATTATGGGGGACCAAAAAACTGTTTCTGCACTGAACTGGCCTAAACAGGACTACATTGGCGGTTGAACCACATAACTGTTGAACCGGTAGCGGTCAACTGGTTCATCCGCGTCTATTTGACTATTCGTATTTCGCCTGTTTCGCTTCCGCTCCTACTTTTCGATCCCGAAGGACTCCTCTCTATTCTTGCCTGTGCTCTTTGATCCCGAAGGACCCTTTACCTGCACCGCCGGTTGGCCGCTCTCTCGCCGGAGGTAAACCTTATGTTTCTTGTTTCTTCCTTGCGAATCACAAAAAATTTTAGGACTTTGATGGATAACCTACATAGAGCTTTCTCTATTTATTGGTACCTTTGTGCTACGTCAAGACATAAATTTTTATTGGCTTGAACATTATTTGTCTGCCCTTAAGAAAGTTGATAATGAATCTTGGATGAACAATATGCCAAATAATGGTGAAGGCATGAGAATGGCTTGGGGTGTTAATTCTCAGGCAACCCATGTTGCCATTATTTGGATGGACGTATTCTCCTTGGGATTTATGTACCATATAATTCTTATATATTTACATATTTAACTTTCATTGTTCTAAAATCTGATTATTCTCTGGGGTTGTTTGGTATTTTATTTTATGCTGGATTTAAGGAAGATTTAGTTTTTATCTATGAAATCATAACACATTTTTCACATTTATGCGGGCCTTTGCAAATCCATTGCCCAACTCTAAAGTCACATTGATGACTTAAGTGCTAAACCCTAATGGATTAATCTAATTCAGCTAAATAAAATTTAATGAGATACATGTAAACTTGTAGATATCTTTGTATAGTTTTGTTGATGTTTAAGAGAAGGGCATTTACATACCACCCTATTTCTATGTATCTACACATCTAACACATAAATTTTGCTCTTTACATTTATACGACGCAAATCTTTCATATATGGTCAATAATACCATCATTTAAACATTTTAAAAAAGAAAAACACTCTTTCATGCAGAGATAAGGCGCTATTTATGTTACTCAGTTCAACCCCAGTTTAACCGTTGAAATTTGAACCTTCTCTTCTATCGGTTCAACTTCCTGTTTGGTTTTCTTAAACTTGATAAAAATAGGACGTGAAAGATAGTACCGTTGCGAGCGGGAAAAAGAGTAGTTTGGTGCAAATGGATCTTCACAAGAAAATAAAATCCTGAAGGGAAAGTTGTGCGTTACAAGACACGATTGGTGGCGAAAGGATACAGTCGGACATGTGGCATTGACTACAACGAGACATTTGCATCAGTAGCGAAGATGAGTACAGTGAGAACATGGGTTTCTCTGACTGTGAATGATGGGTGGAGGTTATACCAATTTGATGTTAAAAATGCTTTTCTTCCTGGTGAATTACTGGAAGAGGTGTATATGGACAGATCACCAGGACTCAGTACATATCAGATAGTGGGCATGGTCTGCAGGCTCAAGAAGTCGCTTTATGGCATGAAGCAGTCTCCTCGAGCTTGGTTTGATAAGTTTAGAAAAACTATGGTGGACATGGGATATCAACAAATTAATGTCGACCATACGATGTTTTCGTCAAAATGGTGGTCACACTACTATGTTTTTTGTGTATGTTAATGATATAATTATCACTAGTGATGATTTGATAGAGATTGTTCAACAAATGGTAAAATTGAGCAAAGAGTTTGAGGTGAAGGATCTTGGAAAACTTAGATACTTCGTTAGGATTGAGGTGGTTTGTGGACCAGATAGGATGGTCTTGTCTGAGAGTGTATGTACTATATCTCATAGAAACAGGCATGCTGGAATGCAGGCCTGCGGTCTCTCCAATTGATCAGAAGGGTAAGCTGAGTGCAGAAACAGGAGATCCAGTTGATTGTGAGATATTAGAGATTGGTGGGTCGTCTGATCTATGTAAGTCACATACATCCCGACATCATATATACAACGAGCATGGCGAGCTATTACAAGCATGATCCAAAGAAGGGCATATGAATGCAGTCTATCAGATTTCGAGGCACCTGAAAAATGCACTAGGGAAGAGGTTGATCTTTTAGAAGAATGAACATGCAAGCATTGAGGGCTATTGTGACTTTGACTGGGCGAGTTGTGTGGATGACAGAAGATTTGCATATGGATATTACATGTTCATAGGGGGCAAATTGGGCTCTTGGATGAGCAAGAGACATTTGGTAGTAACGAGATCAACAATAGAGGTAGAGTATAGGGCTATGGTCTTAGGAGTTGTCTAGTTGTTGTGGTTGAAAGCCTTGTTAGTAGGGCTCAAGGTGGACCAGGGAGCTCAAATGAAGTTGTGGTGCGACAACAAATCAGCGATCAACATCGCCAACAATCTGGTGAAACATAATAGAACCAAGCATGTGTAGATTGATATGTTCTTCATCAAGTAAAAACTGAATAATGGACTACTGGAGCTAAAGTCATGTAGCCACTGGAGGCAAGTGGCTGACTGCCTCACCAAAGGACGTGGCTCATTAGATTTGTCTAGGCTGTGTGACAAGATGGGCATAGTGAATGTCTTTTGCCCATCTTGAGAGGGAGTGTTGAAATTTGTATCTAATGTAGGGTTCTGTTTGTAAATAGATGAACTCTAGAGATTCTTTATAAATATTGTAACTTGTAAGGTTCTGTATAAGCCTGTCATCAATGAAATGAAGATAGTTTTTGAGCAATAATTTATATTTTGAGCAATAATTTCTATTACTAGCTCACACAAATTTGTGCTTCACTAACAAAATTGGATCTTTATCAAAGGTCTGATTAGTGGCTTGAGACAGAGAAGGCAGGAAGAAAGAAAGAGGATAAGGGCCTTTCTAATGTTTTGTTTTCAATTAATGCCTGTAATGGATTAACGTTCATGAAACACATTTATGAGGGCTTTTAAAAACATTGGTCAATTTTAAACGCCTTCTATATCTGAGAGTGCTGCATGTAATTTTCTTCTCTTTTTTTAATCTTAGTCATGTTCAACACAATGCCCTTTTATCTCCTACTCATGAAAAAGTATGGTGGTATTACTGATGCCTTATCATGTTATCATATCCATTCATTAGTTCAAATGTATTGAAAGTTTCGCCGTTAAATTTTTCTGATAACTCATTTGTGGTTTGTGGTAGAGATCGTATCTTCTCTTGGAAAGGACTTTCTAGGCTGTCTCATTTTTTTTCAACATGTACTGAAGTTTATTGCCACTTCTAATGCTGCTTATTTAAAGCTGAATATTTCTACTCATGACTCTCTTCTTAATAATGATTTTGCTCAATTTTCTTAATCTATGATATACTGAAGAGTTAAAACTCCAAATTGTACAAGTACTGTATTATCGTGGATGTTTTCCTCCTTTTTTTCTCAGTAGGATTTTAAGTCGTGAATCAAAGATAACCTTTGTCCTTCCATTTGCTAGGTTGGATTACATCCCGAGTTCCGTGAGTCACGCTGTCTCTTCATTGTAAGAAGCAATGGAGAGACTGTGGATTTTTCCTATTGGAAGTGTATCAAAGGTCTGATAAGAAAGAAATATCCACTCTATGCGGATAGCTTCATCATCAGACATTTTAGAAGGCGAAGGCCAAATGAGTGAGCAGCTATCAGGTTAGGTTCATCCTACAAGGCAATGTAGATGTGCGATTTACTTTTATTTATTTCTTATTTTTTGCATTTTGTAATACTCTTGCAAAGCAATCCTTGAAATTTCCAGTATAATACTTATTTTTCCTTTTAATGTTGTTCCTGGTTCTTGTGGAATTATGAGGTTTACATTGTCCATGCTCTACCTTCTCTTATTTCATACTAACTGTGATGTATTGATGATTATCTTTCCTTTTGTATGTATCTTTTTCAAGTCTTAGAAATGGAGGTTCCAATATTTATGTTTATGGAAAGTAACAGTTCAACTTGAATAATATATCCATGCTCTCATGAATTTTATGTTCATGGTCTCAATTGTCAACTGTTGTGATTTTTGTATGTTGTTTTCAGTGTTCCGGCTTTGATGTAAATTCATTGTTAAAAGTGGGGACGGCATACCACATCTTATTTAAATAAAGGGAATTTACATACATAGCACTTCAAACATAGATTTTACATACCCTATGTCTAAACTTCAAATTTTACATATCCCACACCTTGCTAACGGTGTTAAGGAAATCAATATGAGTGAGAGACAAAAAGATAGTGGCAGAAATGAAATCATTGGTCATGACAGAGACACCCATCTCGGTGAAAATGTTGAAAGTGGCCATTCGTGAGGGCTGCTCGTCATCGTGGAGGATTCTATCCATGTCGAAGTGGATGGTTGAGACCTTCCCCGTCCCCATCGTATTAGCTCTTGCTCTGCAAAGGCGGCGGCGGTGACGGCGGCGGCAACAACGACGAGGAGGCAGCAGTGTAGTAGATGTCACGGTGAGTTTGCAAGTGGTGCGAGCAACCAGCCGTGAGTGCGATGATGGGGTTAGGGCTGTGGGTGTAAAATTTAAAGTTTGTGTGGGATATGCAAAATCTAATGTTTTAAGTGCTATGTAAGTAAAGCCCCCTTAAATAAAATATATTAGGGATGGATCCCATTCATCCTAAAAGTTTAATTTGGTAAGAGTCTACATTATAAGTTCCAACTTTCATTATTCACACACTCGTACATTAGTATCATAACAATTTCCCTAGCATGAGAGTCCTCGTATTTGTTGTATTTATATCCTTTCTTAAATTTACATGCTATAAACTATCATGCACAAGAGCCATGCAGGTTATCATAACCATTGCCCATTTTTAACCTTTGTTTGCAGAGTTCATTTGGGCATATAATTGTGCTATTTAAGGTTATGGAATGTATAATTAAGGAGTAAAATACCAAAGTAGTACCTTAACTACTTACACGGGGTCATTTTAGTCCCAGAAACTATAACAATACCGAATTAGCCCTCATACTCTTTAAATTGGGGCTAAAATGGACCTTAGTGGGGACCATTCAACTTATGTTAAAAAAGTACGGACACTAAATTGACTCTTTTATAGACTCTGAGACTAAATTACTCTTTACAAAAATTTAGGGGATTATTTTGAAACTTCTCTCAATTAATTAGTATAATTGATTATTTGTAGTTTTTTTAATTGTTGGTTTCTTGTTAAGCTAGGTCTCTGATTATTTGAACCACTCAAATAATACTTGGTATTACATGTACCATAATATGATCTTTATAATGAGCGGAACTGTTGGTACATGCTATCAAATTTACATGGTGTCAAAGCCATGATATATTCTTGGTCTCGACCTTGTCTTGGCAATGCTAATCCTTTAGTGTCGATCTTGACTTTAGCACACGAATATTACCATATGACTAGGGGTGTAAACGAGCCGAGCTTGAGCGAGCCCAGGCTTTGGTCATGTTTAGCTTGTTAAAAAATATTGTTGTTTGTGTTTGACTCGTTAGTATATCGAGCGCAAAGTATTTATCGTGTTCGGCTCATTTGCTTAACAAGCCAAACACGAGCTGTTCGCGAACAAACCGTTTTGACATCTTTAGACATGCAATCTTAGGATGTTAAGAGTAGGGACGAGATTTAAATCTTATTATTTATATTAAAATATTCATTTAAATAGGATTTAATATATTTTTATTCTATTTATTAATTTTAATTAATCTTTGTTGCTTTGTAGTCAATTAAATTATTTAAAAATATTACTCATATATATCTGAACATGAACGAACACATCTTTTCTCGTGTTCGATTTGTTTATATATCGAGCGTAAAAAAAATAGTTCGTGTTTGACTCATTTGCTTAGTGAATGAATTGAACATGAGCTACTTAACGAGCCGAACACAAGCTGGTTGCGAACAAGGAGCTGCTTTGACAGCCTACATATGATAATCCTGATCTGCACGCTGATCATTTCTGCTAGGTCTGGCAAACAATGATGGTCTTGTTTTTGCACCTATCCTGTATCTTCACTTCAGCAATCAACATTGTTCTTCCACCTCAAGAACAGTTGAGTTTTCACCACTCTCCTTCGGAAGTGCTCAATGTTCATTCTAGCCTACAAAATTCTCATTGCAATCCCATTTTTACCCTCATTGCCCTTTAATGCCGATTCATATGGGCTTGCCGTACAACGCATGTTTATCATGTTAAGGCTTCTTCTCTCTACAAAAATCACTTGGTACTCATTTGTTGATTTAAAAAAAAAAAAAAGAAATTATGCCAACCATTGAATTATTTGTCATAGGAAAAGAATTATGGTCATTCATTGATGGCACTGATTTTGCTATTATTGAATTCTTCAAATTGGCTTAATAGCAAATAAAAAATGTAAACATGGATTTTAGGATTTATTGATTAGAGAATTATTCTAAATTTATGGGTATATAAGATAGCCCAAAACATGTGAGTATTTATGAAAGGTTTATAACCAAGATCATGCACGTTGACATTTCCAGTTAGAATATCAAATGCACCTAGTTACATATATGTTGATCCCTTCTTACAAGGTTTTTTCTCTTGCTTTTAAAATTTATGGTTAGTTTGTTGGCATGATTTATGTGAAAACACTTCCTAATTATCTGTCTGGCATGATTTATGCTGCAGCACTTACTAATCATGTTTCTCAATCTCCACATATACACAATTAATCATAAAATTTTGTTCTGAATTTGTGGCTACTTTGTCCAATTTGATGAATCAGGATCCTTCTCGTTTAAAGAATTATTTCACTAAGTGAAACAACGTGGAACACTAACCATCTTTCAACAATATAAATTTCATGAGAATATGGTTGCTTATGCAATCCATGAGGAAGGAAAATGAAGAGACATGCAACAAGTGTAAGGCCCAACCTACAAGGGTTGTGAACGAATTGTTGCCAATTATGCGAAGAAATTTTGCAAATTTTTTAAGAAATTTGGATACATTATTAAATAACGGCATACTCTTTCTCAAAATTATGAATAACTAAACAAATGATTATTATTGATCATGTCATTGGTTTTACTGCAATGCATAAATTAACTTTTACTTGAGAAATATTTGAACACATGATTTTTAAAGTCCTACCAACCTTAGGGCCGCAAGATTCATATGTTCTATCTTCATCCTGACTTGTTAATTCTGGGTATTTAATCAAATGATTGATTCATCAGATCTTTGCAATATTCTATTTTATCCTGGATCATCTTTTATACAAATTGCCAATAGTGGCCAATTATCTAATATAACTATTGAGGACATTAAAAGAATTTCTTACATCTCCTAAATTTTCCTTTAATCCCATTTTCTTTAAAAAAATTTAATTAATAACAATAATGGCATTCGATTATATTATGCATGATTAAGTGACAGGAAATATACTTTTGATGGAGAATAAATTTAGATGATTATCTCTCGTTTGGCCTTCTATTTTTGAAGTTGTCTCATTATCTTGTACTGCAATAAATCAAAATAATGAGCTATGGAATAAATGTTTAGCTCATCCTTATTTTACTGTTTTATTTTAGATTAGAAGCTCTTGTTTATTAGATAATAAGGTTCAATTTGTTTCTCATCTTTCTTATGATTGTTCAACCTATAAAATTGGGATATACATGTCTCTTCCTTTTCCATCACATTATAGTCGTGCTGGAAATAGTTTTGATTTGGTTCATAATAAGGTATTATTCTTGTTACATTGCTTGCAAATTGTAAATACTTTGTGACATTCATTGGCATATCTTTGTTTATTTCTTTAATTATAATTTATGTATTATCTAGCTCTTTGTGATTTGTAGCCTATGTCGAAACTCAATTGTCTTCCAACTTCAGTGTGTTAAGATCCGATAGGTACTTGACTTGCATGATTTTTTGAAAAAAATAGAGCTGTTTTCCATCGATAATGTCCCTCCCTAAACGCTTCAACAAAATGGTTTTACTGGATGCAAGATTTGGCTTCTATTAGATGTTCAAACTTTTTTGATTTATTCTTTGGCTTCATCTTAATTTTAGGTTGAAGCCTTGGGCATGATAATCTAGCCAATTGATGTATTACCCTGATGCCTTGAAGTCTGACTTTTCTAGCATCATTTTTTTCATGAGTATTCCAAATATAATGATTTACATATATTTCATTGTGTAAATTTTATCTACCTTCTCATGAAGGCTATAAATTATCAGCTAAATTAATTAAATTTGATTTTATGGATTATTAAATTTCACTCAAAAGTATTGTTTGTTATGATCCACGCTCTTTTGAACTTCATTCATCAACTAGTTATTCAGTTTATGTGATTCCGCATCATTTTCTTTTAGCTGTTGCTCGTCATATCGTTTGATATCTTTGTGCGATGCCAATCCTTTGTTAATTCTTTTCAATTTGTTCCTTCTTTCATGTTTGAGATGAATTGATGTTGTTAGATGATGTGGAAACGCTTCTTTATGTTGAATTCCAAAAACCAGCGAGAGGTTCCCAAGTCTTCTTTGATCGGTCTTAGGGTGGTAGTTTCAACCTGAGCGGAAATGCGTTGTGTCTAGATACTTGAGATCATAAATAGATTTGGGTACCATTCTAATCGCCTTTTTCATGATCTTTCTATGTATAGTCGTATTGCTGGCGGTCTAAGCTTCAAGCCATCTTTCTTCATTTTCAAAAGGGGAGCAAAGCTTGTTTGTGTATTATGATGCTCATTGGGATTAGTACCTTGATACCCAATGGTCAAGGGGCTAACAATTTCTTTTTTTATAACTCTTTGATTTCGTGG